GGCCCGCCAGGCAGGATGCCGAGGAGGAGCGCCTGGCCAAGCTGGTTGAGCTGCTCACCCTCGCTGGGGACACCATGGCGGCCGACAACTGCAGGGCCAAGCTGGTGGAGCACCGCCTCGCCAAGCAGGACAGCGACGTCTCGGTCGAGCTGGCCAGTGCGCAGGGTGTGCAAGCAGAGGAGCGGCTCCGCCAGTCCATCGACATGTGCGAGCGAGTGGAACAGCTCCTGGTCGACGCGCAGGCCGAGGTCGTGCATGACGCCAAGACCCTGGAGGAAGCCAGAGCCAGGTACCAGTCGGCAGTCCGCAGCTTGCACACCATCGTCATCGACCCTAGGCCTGGGGCACGAGGACACCCGAAGCTGGACCTGTCCAACATCTTGGATGGGCCAATTTCGTGCTGGATGACGGGGGGCTCTTCGGCCTGGAGCAACTGGGCGACGTGGTGGGGGGCGAGGGCCGCATGGAGGCGGCGCGCCGACGCGAGATGCTACAGGAACAGTTCAAGCAGGCTGCGTCCTTGCTGTTCGGCGACCTCCGTACCAAGGCCTCGGCGATCAAGCAGGCTCAGGAGGCCCAGGCCAAGGGGCTTGCAGCGAAGAGGGCCCGCGCGGCGGTCCCCGAGGCCGCGACAGCCGAGGCCACTGTCGCTGCAGCAGAGGGCGAAGCCACAGAGCACAAGCCGTCACAAGCCCAAGCCCACGCCTGTGGCCGCCAGCGCCGCCATCCAGGCGGCGAAGGCCAAGCTTGGCGCCAAGAAGGGTGCTGCGAACGGCGGTGAGGCGCCACCGCCGCGGGGGTAGCAGCACAAAGCGCAACTTCGCCTCACGTGATCCACATCCAGTTTTGCGGGCTACTCCGTCGAGTGCCTGGTGGATGAGGTCACCCGGTTTTGAACGGGGCTGGGTAGCTGGTGGATGGGATGGTACATTTGGCGACCATGGGCCACGTGGCAGCCAGTCATCATACAGTGCTACAGAGCATGTCCCTGCGCGGGGTGCTGACCAAGTCAAGTTTGACTACAACTATGATCGGGGCAGGGACTACGGTATTGCCGACATCAACGGGGAGTTCGAGCTGCTCAGGAGATGGATCGCCAACCCTGAACCTGAAGGCCAGCTGCCGCCGACTGGGCCACCAGGCCGACGGCGAGGAGGCCGCGGGGCGCGGGCCAGCCGAGCTCGTCGAGGGCAGGTGGAGGCCCGGGCGCGGCGCCGTCCTCACCTACCTGACGGTGGCGAAGGTGCTGCAGACGTCCGTGCTGAGGGTGGTCTACCTCGGCAGCCGCCTGTGCTGCGGGCCCCGCAGGCGCTCCCCGCCAGTCGGCGGCGGGGCGCGGCCGAGCCTCAGGCGCCCCGCCCGCGGAGTGCTCGCCAGGTCCGTGGAGTCCAACGTGCGGGGCCACAAGCCTGCGCCCACTGGGGCGCTACAGTCGCGGGCGTCAAGGGTAGTTGCATGCGTGGGCTTAGGGTTGCCGACGTAGGTTCGTTGCGCCTTGCCAAGAGAATGGCCTCGGTTGGCTCTAGTCGCTACTCTTCCGGGGCTGGCCAGAAGATGGACCCCCCAGGCCATCTTCCGCGAGGGTGTGGTCCTCTTCTGGGCCCGAGCCAGGAGGGAGGGAAGGCCGAGTGTAAGCAGTCTGCAGCATGTCCTAGAGTCGGCGTGCGGTGAGCTCGCCCGACGTAAGTTCTCGTGGGGAGCTGCCCGATCGCCTATCCATGGTCTTGTTTTGAGCCACGGGGACCTCCGCTGGAGTTTCGTCAATTCTAGGTCCCTCAGGTCCGAAACTGGTATGCCACTAGATATGCTCGCGCTGGCCCAGTTACAGGTTGGGTGGATTGCACAGCGGGCCTTGCGCTGCAGCTCGGACAATGTGGCCCTCCAGGCTCGGTGAGGGTCCCAGGGCTGGTCCAGGCCCGTCTTGTGGAAGCCTCTCCTGAGTCTCCTGGATGGGCCTAAGGAGGCCGCGGGTCCCTCGACCTTCTGGGGCCCGCGCGCGCAGGAAACTTTAAGGCGCGGTGTCTCGCGATGCCACTGGCAGCAAGAGAGACTGCACAGGCACGGCTATGCTAGCTCGCCTCTCTGCAAGCAAGGTGGGGCGGCCCCGGGTGCCCGGTTTCACTGGCGCTTCAGGTGTAGCTTTGTTGACCGTGCTGCCACTATCAGGGCGGCTAGGTCACCCAAGTCTGCGGGCAGTGCTGCGAGTGGCCGTGCCCATCTTTGGATTCGGGCCTCCCATCTCCATGATGGGGGGCCGTCGCCAGTTGTGAAGGTCCGAGCGAATTCGTCGTGGGTCGAGGTCGAGCGGGCGCTTTCGACCCCGTTCCACAAGAGAGGCTCGGACGAGACTGATCACCTAGCGAGGCTAGGGGTGCAGTGCCATCTGTCTAAGGCCCAGGCTGCGCAGAAGCCCCGTTTGTTCGAATCGGTTGCGCGCCAAGCTGGCCATTGGGCTTGCGAGCATGAGGCCTGGAGGGCCGACAGCGGGCGGCGTGATGGTGTCGAGCTTGCGGGCCCCGAGGGGGTCGGTCGGGGCCGTGCCTTTCCGCGGCAGCTGACCGTGCCGAGAGTTCGTGTCGGTGGCCAGCTGTTGGTCCTTTCGGATCCGCAACATCCTGAATTGGTCGCCCCCACCAGTATGCTCGGTCACTTGCTCCGCAAGGCCACTGTGGTTGGCCCTGACGATGAGCGTGTGATCCATGGGGGCACCGTCTGTGTGTGTACTAAGTGGGGGGGTTACAGTTGGGGGCGGTGAAGGCCCTATACCGCCACTGCACCCAGCCCACGGTGGGCCTGGGGAGGCAGTCGAACCGTGTCGTGAAGGGCGTTTTTTCCGTATCAAGGGTGGGCGGTCGGCCCAGCGAGGCCAGCCACCCCAGTGGATGTGGCCATCCTGGCCACCACGTCTTCGGCCGATCTCTCCCTGGGCGGTGGGAGGTGGGGGGCGTGGTCGCTGTCGTCGTGGGGGGAGCGGTGAAGTGTGGCGGAGTGTGCGGCTCGGTTCGACCTCGCGCCCGAACTGCTGGCGGAGGAGGCGGACCGTCACCGCAAGGAGGATGAGGTTTCCAAGGGGGCGAGGCGGGCGGCCAGGCAGGCCCGCCGCTGACGCCCCTCGGGTTCCCCCCCCCTCTTCCCCCCCCCCCCCGCTGGTGGCGGAAGTGGCTGGCGCCCCAGAGAGCGCCGCCCAGCGGGTGGGACATTGGTGGGCCGAGGTGTGTCACTGACCTCCTCCGCCATGGGAAATAGAAATATAAATAGAAATAGAGGGCGAGGGCGCTTTTTGTTTGTTTGGTTTCTTGTTCGAGTCTGTATATTTGTGTGTATCCATGTTTGCTATGTGGCTCCCCCTCCTCAGGACGCGGATGCACTTGCCCAGTTTTCCTAGTTGCGCGGCGGCCGTCCACTTGCCGCCCCACTCTTTGCCGCTTGCACGCGCGCCGCCCCGCCTCTTTGCTCTGCGGTCCTCCTCCGGCCTTCGTCCCTGTTCATGATTTCTCCTCGTCGCACTATCAGATGTGTCGGCAGGGTGGTCGGGGCGTTTTGTTTGCGAACTCATCACGGTTTGCCATTCTGGCGGTCACAACTACCAACAATTGCGGCTCTTGCCTTGGCGCCGCGCGCATTCGTCTTAACAGTTCTCAGCCGTCACACGGATGGAGAGCAGGACGTTTTCAAATGTGGCTCTCGCCTTGGCGCAGCGCATATCCGTATTACTCGTTCCCAGCAGTGACAGGGGTGCAGTACCGGTCGCTTTTCCAATGTGACTCTCGCCTTAGCGCCGCGCGCATTTGTCTTAACAGTTTTCAGCCGTCACAAGGATGGATGGCAGGCCGTTGTAAAAAAAACGGCCCTCGTCTTGGCGCCGCGCGTATTCGCCCTATTCGTGTCCAACAGTTACAGGGACGGAGTGCGGGCCGTTTTTTTTGTTTGTTTTTGTTGTTTGTTTTTTTCAATCTGGCTCTCGCCCTGGCCCCGCGCACATTTGTTTCAAAAGTTTCCGACAATCACGGGGATGGATGGTGGTCGTTCTTCGAAATGCGGCCTCGCTTCAGCGCCGCGCACATCTGTAACAGTCCCCTGGATGTTGTTCGGTTCGTTATCTAAGTGGGGCCACTGCGACGTTCTTAATATACGGCCCGAAGTGTTAAAGTCGTGCAGCAGCTGCAAAGATGCAGGCAGGGCGGTTCACTTTCAAAGCAGGGCTCCCGCTTGAGATTTCCTCGGACTTTAGGACCTGACTTGTAACGTTGCGCAGTATATAGAGGATGTAGGGCGGCTCCTCTTCAATATGCGGCTCTCGCTTGATACTTCTTCGCTTTTTGTTGATACGACGTGTCTTGTACGGTAGTTCTACGGATGGAGGGCGGCCTATTTTCCAAACGGGGCCCTCGCTGGACACTGTCAGATACTTTCCTCCTCGGAGGCTTTCCTCAGAGGCTTTCCTCAGAATGGCGAGCCCTGGGGCATGTGAAGGAGGAGGAGGAGGAGGAGGAGGAGGTGGAGGAGGAGGAGGAGGAGGAGGAGGAGGAGGAGGAGGAGGAGGAGGAGGTGGTGGAGAAGGAGGAGCAGAAGGAGGTGTTTCCGAGAGTGAAGGAATGCCTGTGCGGGCTTACGGAGATAGGACTTGGGACGGGAGGGGCAGCATCGTTAATGCGTCCTGGATTTGCTCTGGCCCCCTGGTCCCCTGTCGTCGCCGCCGCCGCACGCGTCGTCGCCGCCGTCATTGTCGCCGTCGCCGTCGCCGTCGCCGCCGACGCCGTCGCCGTCACCGCAGCCGTCACCGCCGCCGACGCCGTCGCCAGTCGCCCTTCCCGTCGCCGTCGCCACCGTCGCCGTCGCCGTCACCGCCGCCGCCGCCGCCGTCGCGGGTCGCCGTCGCGGGTCGCCGCCGTAGCCTCCGCTAGTTGTCGCCGTCGCCGCCGCCGCTCGCCGCTGCCGCCGGTCGCCGCCGCCGCCGTTCGCCGCTGTCGCCGCTGCTGGCCCGGCAGGCGCACGGTCGCCTGTCGCACGGCGACGCGCCGTGGCAGCAGCAGCCGCAGCAGCAGCAGCAGCAGCAGCAGCACTGGGGCGGCCAGCCGCGGGGCGCCGTCGCCTGCCAGGGCCCCTGGGTGCAGCAGGAGCTTGCCGTGAGGGGAGCGGGTCGTCGGACTCCGAAGGCCCTGAGATCTGGGCATTTCAACTTTTTCGCAAGGGGCGTTTTCGCCGGGCTTCGGGCCCCAGGACCATCACAACGAACCGGCTCGAAAACTGCAGCAGGAAGATGGGGCCTAGGGCTCCAGTCCAGGTTTTTTACGATGTTGCATTATTTCCGTGACGTCTGATCTCAGCGTTGCCGTGAGCGGAGCGCGTCCGAGGCCCGCTCGGATCATGAACTAACCACGACGGAAGCTTTTGTTGTTGTTGTTGCTGCTATTTTCGGCCTCTGGTAGCCCTTAATTGGCCTCGGGACCGTCACAAAACGATTCAGGATGAAAATCGGTCCTGGGAATGGATCGAGACCTCTGTGGGTCGACGTTATGACAACTTCATGACGCCGACTGATAACATGTGTAGATACATAGCTTAATTCACTGCTTGGTTTTCATAGCCATCGAGGAAGTCCCAAGATGGAGCCCCAATCAAAACAGGAGCCGCCCTCCATCCGTGTAGTTCTTGTAAACATTTGAACACCGGATTTCGAAGTATGTGAAAGTACCAAGCGAGAGTCGTAGTATAGAAAATGAGCCGCTCTCCATCCGTGTAACCGTTGTGAGATATTTGACGTTGGGAAGGAAGTCTAAAGCGGGATCCCATTTAGAGGAATTGTCTACATCTTTGTAGTTGTAAGACATTTTAAAGAGTGTGCGCGACGCCAGTGCCATAGCCCCATTTGGAGACCACTGTGAGCTTGAAGATCAGAAGGTAGTGGGGAAGTTTCAGGCGAAAGACCTGGCCTGCCCTAGTGACACGTCAGGTGGTGCGACAGGGACTAGTTATCTATGAGGAAGGTGGGGCGGAGGAGGAGTCCGACACCTCACGCCTGGCGTGCCTGCGGCTTGCCTGCTTGCCTAGCAGCGAAGGAGGGCGAGGAGGGGGTTGATGGAGGGGGAGAAGGAGGAGGAGGAGGAGGAGGAGGAGGAGGAGGAGGAGGAGGAGGAGGTGGAGGAGGCGAGGAGGAGAGGAGGGTGAGAGGGGGAGAGGAGAATGAGGAGGAGGAGGAATGAGGAGGAGGAGGAGTGAGGTGGAGTGAGGAGGAGGAGGAGAGGAAAAGTAGGAGGAGGCGGGGGGGTGGGAGGAGGAAGCAGGAGGAGGAGGAGGAGGATGAGGAGGAGGAGTATGGACATGATTATGATGATGAGATTGATGATGATGCTGATGATGATGATGATTGATGATGATGATGACGATGATACGGATGATGATGATGATGAATGATGATGATGATGATGATGATGAACGATGATGATGATGATGATGATTATATGATGGTGATGGTAATGGTAATGGTAATGGTGCGGTGATTATGATGATGATGATGTGATAGATGATGATGGAGGAAGAGAGAGGGAGAGTGGAAAGAGAGGGGGAGAGGAGGCGAGAGGAGGAGGGGGAAGTAGGAGAGGGAGTAGGGTTAGGGGGCGGAGGAGAGGGGAGTAGGAGGGAGGATGATGATGTTGACATGATATGATGATGATGATGATGCTGATTATGATGATGATGATGATGATGATGATGAATGTGATGAGGACGAGATGATGATGATGATAAGATTACGATGATGATAATGATGATGATGATGATGATGATGATGAGTATGCTTATGATTATGCTTATGCTGATGATTGATGATGATGATGATGATGATGATTGATGCTGCTGATGCTGATGATGCTGATGATGATGATGTATGAATGATGATGATAGATGATGATGATGTGATGATGATGATATGATGCTGGATGATGATTGATGATGATTGCTAATGATGATGCTGATGCTGAGGAATAGGAAGAAGAAGAGAGAGGAAGAGGAAGAGGAAAGGAGATGAGGAGGAGGAGGAGGAGGAGGAGGAGGAGGAAGGAGGGGAGGAGGAGGAGGAGGAGGAGGAGGAGTGAGGATTAGATTATCCTAGTAGGCTTCCAGACATCTTCAGAGGTTCTCCTGAAGTCACTCCGTTTTCGATTCATCTTTAAAGGTGTCCACGTTGTTCTAGCCCAAGATCGTTGTACTATTGTGGCTCAAGGCTGCCTAAAGCTTGCTTTGGCCGCGGAGCGATACGCTCTGCAGGCCCCCCGCTGCCCACGGCCGGCCCCCTTGAGCACGCCCAGCGGCGCGCGCGCGCGCCTCCGCCAGGAGGCATCTTCAACCGCAACCACTGCGTCAACATCGGCGACGCTCTCGCCGACGAGTAGCAGCTGAACAGTGTGTACCAGCAGCACCACGGGTACCAGCAGCACCACAGGTACGACACTCCGCTCGATGCGATCACGCAAGATCACACGGCATGATATTATTGCGAAGTTTCACCAATATCTCTGCCTTTTTTACAGCACCGTCATCATGGTGCAGTGGCAGCAAAATCAGAACGCTACGTCGAATGGCAATTTTCAGTTTGAAGAGTTTACGAAGTTCGTCCTTCCAGGATGGCGTCCACACGTGCGAGGGTATACGTTCAGAAGGTATATGCAGAAGTTGAAGCTATGGTGGAGAATCACAGAGGAGAAGCAATGCGAACGGATTGGCCCCCTTCTCGTATCTAGGCTCCACGGAACAATATTTCAGGCAGCCATGTCCTTCACTCACCAGCGAGGCGGCCTCAGCTATCGAGGTGATGAAGCTATTGCAGCTTTCGAGGCGGCCTCAGCTATCGAGGTATGATACATGCTATGATGATACGTGTGAATGGGGTTATGCTGAAGCATGCGGATGGACAGCAGCTCGCGATGGTATCTGGGCACAGTACGATGAGCATGGCAATATTCTTCAAAACCTAGAACCAGAAGGGTCACAGGACACATGCTTTGGAACAACTGGCAAATGACGAGGCAACATGCAAGAGGAGCACAGGGCGAGGACGCGGTGGATGTCGTCGCACGTTCCCGAAAGGTTCGAGTAAAGGAGGCAAAGGACGCGACAAGCCAACAGGAGGTAGCAATGGTAGCCTTGGTGGCAGCGGTCAACACGGCGACGGATGCGAAGCGCGTGGCAGCAAGTGGCATTCAGCATCACATTGCCCAGCAAAGAGTCGAGGAAATTCCTCAGCAAGCCCCAGTTCGCAAAGCACAGGACAGCATCCACCTCGGATGTCATTGAAGGGCAAGGGCGAATCAGCCAAGTCCAGACATTATGCAAATGCAGCCCACATGGTCACGACTTCGCACGCGATGGCGACACGGCCGCCGGGCTCATGGATTGCAGTAGGAGGAGATGCGCCACCTATCTCACAGGCAAGCACAGTTGAGATCATGCCGCGAGTACCTGAACACATCGAGCAGCACTTCGTTGGAAGTCCAAGTCAGCTCATCCCTGAAGATGGCACGTTCGAGTTGAATGGCAAGATCCCAAATGGAATCAGCCAGTCATTTGAACAGGAACGTGAGCGAGCATTTCGACCGCCGGTTCTTGGTCAAACCTCCCCGATTCCAGGCAGTTCCCTTCGGATATCTTTGCGGGGCATTATGCGTAAGAGACGAGGGGCGACCACGACGGCGTCCACGTCATCTCCTACATCGTCGCCATTGCAGACGCACACATTGGCTCATAAGTTACTTCAGCAGTGTGCCCTGGTTTCTGTCGAGCACGGGCGACATGGCGCAGCCGCGGATGCAATCCCTGCAGAGGCAATTCCTGAAGGCTTCTATGCTTATGCGACACTTCACCATTCATCAGATTCATACGTGACACTGCATACTGTCAAAGGACAATGTGTTCATCGGCTCATCGTTGATCCAGGCGCACCTGAGGAATTGTTGGGCACCGAAACGTTGTTTAACTGGGTCGAGGACATCTACGAGCCTCAGGGTCTGACATCGACGTGACTTCTTCGCCCGCATCTTTCACATGTATTAATGGGTCAAGCTGATCCGCCCCGCGGAGAGTTCGTCGGCCCTATCCCGGTGGAAGGCGTGCGTCCACAGTCTACGTGCCGAGCCGATCTGATCGGGGGTGTGGGGGTGCGGTGCCCAGGTTTGCTCCCGAATATCACCTTGCTGAAGGAACAGAGCATCCTGTGCGCGAATGTCTTTCCGAATGGTGATGGTATCTTGGCTTTCGTATCAAATTTTCGCTTGCCCGCGCTGGCTGGGATGCTCCTCGCAGACTCTGGTCGCTACCTCGTGCCGGTCAATCGTCGCGAGCAAAGGACTCAGCGAGGCGCTCGGCAGATGTTGGGTCTGATCGAAGAGAGAGTTCAGAAGCCCTTTGGCACGTATTCGCGATCGCGCATATGAGCTTACGCATGACAAGACCTGACGTGTATCCCGAAGCGCAGAATCAGAGTCAGGTTTCAACGGCGACTATGACGACACCGTCGGCGCCGACGGTCAACGCGAGGAAGATCAAGCAAGTGCACATGGCTTATCAGAATCACGACGCCAATCAAATCTATGACCTCTGGAGGAATTTCCCAGCCAGCAGGTGCAAAGCGGACGGGGGGAACATGTGGCCAGACAATTTCGATGATAACAGATGTCAGCATGTGAACAAATCGTATGCCATCATGGACGAGAAGTTCTGTGCAACCGCAAGGCTGCCACTTATGCGACCTGGGCATGTGCGCGCCTTCATCGACCGCATGCAGACCGTCGGCGACAAGACAGTTCTCTTGTTCAAAGGATTCCGTGGTGCCTCTTGGGCTTCATGCGCCGACTATCAGACCCATCTCATGTTTCTACCTCCGGTGGATTACCGACAGGGATGACAGAACTGGAGAATCGCAGGAATCTGGAACGACCTCTTCTCAGCTGGACGGCCAATGTGTCTGCGCTAGAAGTCCAGCGAACTGGAGGTCACGTGCCCCTGGGGAACCCAGCTATGTCAGCCGTTTGGTCGCAATCAGATCTAGTGCATGTGATGGGCTTTCTCGCGACGGAGCTGCGTGAAAATTTAACGGGCAAGTGCGCCCATGGTGCTGTGAGCGTGGATCTACAACTACCTATGCGCAAGCGGGCGATCTTCAAGAGCACGGCCAGATGCGGAACGCATCCAGAACAGGCCAGTGCTCAGGGCGTCATGCCAATCTTCAGGGTGCAGGCGATCGTGAACGCAAGCGCGCAGCACTCGCAGCCATCTATCCGACAGGGCTATGCAAAGCTCTGATCGCACATATGGTGGAAGTTCTGCGTGCATCTAGAGCTTCCAACTGGCGGGCGTGCAAGAGGCGTCAATTCGGATCGGCTTCAGGTGTGCCGCGTTCGAGAATGTAGGGGTGCAGATTCAAGCCGATCGACGCGGCTTCTGAGGGCGCAGCTCCACCTTCAGATCCAGCAGCAGCGCCTCCAGCAGCAGCGCCGCCAGCAGCAGTGCCTCCAGCGGCAGCAGCTCCAGCGGCATCTTCAGCATCGGCAGCGACCTCATCTCCACTGGCAGCAGCCGGAGCACCTGCCGAGCCTGCTCACCTCGAACCAGCACCTTCACCTGCGGCAGGGGCATCATCAGCGTCGGCATCCGCGGCGCCCAGTGCAGCTGTCATTGAGGCACCTGCTCAGCATGAGGCACCAGTACTTCCTCATCTCGAGGTTCCAGAGGGAGAAGCAGCAGGAATGAAGATCGTGAGCGCCTCTTACGCCTTGGGCAATTTATCGCAACAGCTATTGCACGCTGTGTCGAATGAGGAGAGAGTCAAGCTGTTGATGGGTTTACACTACAAGTTCTGTCATCCTTCTGACTACGAACTGGGAAGAATGATACGCGCTCTCAGTCTACCAGCACCTATTGGAGAACTTCGCAAAGGATTGGCACATCACTGCGACGCGTGTCTCAGACGCCAGCGAGCCATGCGTGAGCCTTCAGTGATGACAGGGCTGGCCGTGCGATTCAACGAACGCGTTCAGGCGGATCTCTCCTATCTCTTTGCGAAGGCTTGGCTAGTGATGATCGATGAATCTACCAGGTATCGGATTGCAGCCAATCTTTAGCAAAACAGGTCAAGATATCTTGCGAGCCTAGCTCAGTCACTGGGTCGGGCATTTCGGACCGGTGCGCTCGTAATGGGCCAGGGGGTTGGTATGACTGCCGACGTGGTGGCCCTGTTCGCAGATCGCTACCGCGTCGCCCTTGTCTTCGGCGGAGCTGACGATCGCACTGCCACTGGTTTGGCACAGCGCGCCATTCAGACGGTCAAGCTCACAGCCCTCGAGGCCAAGAGAGATGTGCAGAGACAGGGGATGACATATGTATCAGATGCTGAGGCTGTTGAGGACTTCCCGATGGTCGCCAGCCCGTCCATGAACTACGGAGGTGCGGTTCCAGCTCAGGGCGTGTTCGGTTGCATGCCAAATGACGCGTGTTATCCAGAAGCAGGCGGCCTGACTGCGTGTTCGAGCGCGCTTGATCAAACGCCTTGCGTGACAGAGCAGCACTACGTCAACGGCGTATGGCGAAAGCAAACATCCTGCAGTCCATCATCGAGGAAAAGACCGCCAAAGCCAATGCCAACAGGCAGCAGAAGCAGGACCCGGGCTGGATGGGCACCATGAAGGCGCACGATGAGGGGGATATTTGGCGGACACCTGCTAGGAAGGACCTGGGTGGCTGGCGCGCGCCTGCTGAGTTTATCAGCATGGACAAAGGCAAAGGCACCGCCAGCTTGATCCACCAGAACCAGCCATACATGATGCCGACACGACACATGGCGTGCCAGACGCCTGAGCTATTATTCCTTGGGTTTCAGTCTGGACAGCTCTCAGATCTTCTTGGAGGACAGCGTCCCCGTCAAAATGGCAAGGATTTTTGAGATTGTGGAAGGTATTCCACCTTGTATGATAGATCGCATTGTTGTCTGCTCCGGCCAGGGAACTCCGTCGGATCTATTCGAGAACGCCCCCATGATCTGGAAGCTGGCCACCGAGTTGGGCACCGCAATATTCGAGATGACCAGCGTGCAAGGTATTGTGTATGGTAGTGGAGTGCGGATGGTCAACAAATTATCGGGGGTTGCTCATAGTATTGTCATTGCTTGTTTGGACAATCATCCATGCGAGTACTACAGCACGGAGATCGAGACATCGCAGACCATCGGCGTGCAGCAGGTTGTAGGTAGTGACTGGCTGAATACTATTTCTTGATCCTTGTCTCGAATCATCAGTCATTGGGCGGCAGTCCGGAACTATATGTACAGCCAGATCTGAGCTCGATGCCTTTCATGGACGAGGACCCGCAAGACGCGCAGCTTACATTGAGACAGCTGTTCCCAGACGGTTGTACTAAGGAACCAGCACCAGTCAGCACTCCTACTAGGCAGTCGAAGGATGCGATTTCAGCTTCGTCTTCAACAGCTCCAGGCGCTCCAGAACGACACATGGATCCTCTATCATCAGTCGTATCTCAATCTTTGGAGATGCAAAGGGTTCCTCGAACGCCAGATGTTGCTCAATAAGTTCTAGAATATCAAGACATGCAAATGAAAGCTCTGAACAACCAATTGAACGAATGGCAGAACCACAAGGGTCAAAGAGTAATTCGAGGTATTCTCCAGCATCAAGCGCGACCTCAGTCAAAGGCAGCAGCAGCACCTCAATAATCACCCGCGATGAGTTCATCCGGTCTTGACTTGATAAGGGAGATGGAGCGCGCCATGGAGGAAGGGAGATCGATATGAAGAGGCAGTAATCGCACCGACTGCGACGCCCCAGACTGGCAGAGCACCAGGAGCGAGCACACACCTAGATCCGTCTCGAGACGAAGCTGGACGATGTTCTCGATCACACTCATCCCGACGGCAATCCATTTCTACCGGCACAGCAATCGTTCCAATGATGCAGGCTCAGCAGCAGGCAAATATCACGGATGCACTGGTTCAGCGGACTCGAATGGATACCGCAGCATTGGACGACAGCATCATCGATCTCGGACATGGTCGCCAGAGCATGAGGCCAACGTCTATAATGTCTTCGGCACAACTTCCAGCAGCAGTGCCTCTTCCTGCAGGTGGAGTTTAGCAACCGCAGGATGATGGACCAGCAATTTCGGTTCAAGTGCGCCTGGTAGCGAGGAGAAAATTCCGAATGCCTCGGAGCAGCCTGGCCTGACAGACCTGCTGAACGACATGTTTGGACAGGATGGTATCAATGACGAGGCAGAAGCACAGGGGGCCCGCGACGAAGTGTTGCCCATTGGGGACATCTCTGAACTTTTCTCTCAATGCTTGGCCCATGCAGCAGACCTGCCGGTTCTCTTACCAACCGATAAGCTAGTTGCGCTGTCTCTGGATTGTTCGCGCTCGGCGCCCACGCAGGCTTTTTAAATGGTCAGTGACAGCACTCTTCATCGCGCATCCTTGACACCTTGGTCAGCAGCTGATTTGCAGTGCGTGGCTATTGCTAGACCATCGGCAGCTTCCTCCAGGTGCTTTCACATGGATCTCATGAGGCATGAGTTCGTGGAAGTCCACGCATCACAAGGCGAACCATTTGTTGAAGACGATGAGTTTGGAAAGCTCTGGCCACTGATAGAAACGGCGGGCCAGAAAGATATTGCACATTAGGTCCAGCACAACTGTTTCAGGCCAGAGCTCAAGTCGCATGTCAATGGCGCCAACTCCATCGATGGTACATGGGTGTGCAGATGAATGTGGAAAGAAGAGTTGGTTTTACGCTCGCGCATGTGAGGGCGTGGATGTCTGAACAATCAGAAGTGGGCCGTTGATCGTCATTCGTCCACAGCAGCGAGAGTATCTCAATGCATGATGGTATCCACATGTCAATGCGAGCCAGAGTTCGACTTTGAATCGTGGGGTATTCCGTCAGCATTTTTCAAAGGTCTTCGATTTCGAGAACTAGCCGCTCGAGCGCGCGAGGTAGGATGGGACCTGCGCGAGCACCGTGGAGTCTATATACAGCACCTCCTGCCAACGTCTGGAGGCATCTCAAGAAGATGTCCTAGCTATTTGAAGATGTTCCCGATGATCAGCTTCACTTGTGCGTGCTCGAATGTGTGCAGCCAGTTCCTGGGCTCGCGGGCGCTCCTCTGCTGTGGCAGGCAGCGTTGGCAGTGCACATCAAGGACGACAGTGGCGGCCAGAGGGCATTGCTGGATGAGATTTGTTCCTCATGGTGTGACGAGCAGCGTCAGCTATCCCCGGCCACGACGGTTCACATTGATGATAGGTTGCCGACTGGAATGCGAGAGTGGTAAGATTGGGCGCGCGCGCTGCTGGGGAAGAGGTTCGGCCATGTCACAAGGAAGGGCGTGTCATTCATGCGTCTCGGTATAGAGTACTATCGATTGAATGGCGGCACCATCTTTCCCCGCAAGGACGCGTGCCTCGATGCGATCAGCACGCCAGCGATAGACAAAGGGAGAAGCGAGACAGACGCGCTGACATGCACCCCGCAAGAACACCACGAATATCGCTCATTGTGTTGTCAGCTGCTGCATCTACTACAGACTCGTTGGCGTCTCAGTGCAGCCACTACTCAATTGCAAACCGAACAGGCAGCCCCAACCATTGGAGACTTCAAGCAACTATGCTCGAACGTGCTAGAACGCATCGTTTCAACAATGGAACTGTGCTATCGACGGTTGGGTGGGGCCCTTTCGTCTGGTTAGTGTCGATGATGCAGTTCGTGCCACGAATAACACACCGTACTTCTGAAGCTCAAGGATTGTTCTTGATGGAAGATAAGCCAGTGCATTGTGACAGGCATGGTGTGGTTAACGTCAAGAGCTGTGCCATCATCTTCGGTCCTGCCCATTTTCTTGCAGGACAGAGCAAGAAGCCCAAGTGGGTCTCGTGCTCGACAAGTTATGCGGATACCGTCGCAGCAGTTGGTGGTTCTCAACGTGCGCAGTACACAGCAATGGTATCCACAGAGTTGTTAGCCAGACCAATGATCGAACCCCAAGGAACGTCAGCCCTTGAAGGTCTCATGGCAAGGCAAGGTGATGGACGAGCCATCGTACCCATCGGCATCATTACGGGCTGCTGAGACCTCTGCCAGCGCCTATCCATTGTACCTCTGAGAGAGGATCGACTATCCGGAAGGCTACGACGCATATACCATTGGCCTACGGGGTTGGTGGTCAAGGGTGCATTGACATAGAAAGGTTCTTACCCACATATGCAGGACTTACCTTTCAGAGTGGTTACATCCGATCCGATTGCCGACTGAAGTCCAAGAGCGGCGTGCCGAACATCTTCAGCATGCGCTATATCCAGAAGACGAGCGAGTTCACGGAGGCTGACCTCGTGAACATGAAGGCGTAGTGCGCCATTGCTGCTAGCCGCTGCAGTCGCCCAGGGGCACATAATCAGAGTGAGGATTCGATTATCCCAGTAGGCTGTCAGACATCTCCAGAGGCCCTTCTGAAGGCACTCCGTGTTCGATTCATCTTTGCAGCTGTCCACGTTATTGTAACAGCAGATCGTTGTACCATTGTGGCTGAAGGCTACCAAGAGCTCGCTGAAGGAGGAGGGGTAGGAGTAGGAGTAGGAGTAGGAATAGGAGTAGGAATAGGAGTCAAGCTAGCCAGCTCGAGCGAGTCAAGCATGGCATGCCCAGTCCCACCCGCCCTCCCACAACATAAGAAGCAAAGCTGGCACAACTGGGGGCCGAAGTCACACCGGCCAGCCGGTTTGGTACAGCTGATGCGGCCGCGATGGCGGTTGTCGACGGGAACTGGCGAGCGCGTGTTGAATGCCGCGCACGCATTGCCAGACGAGTCGAGAATGGCCCGGTACACCGCAGGAAGCCAGAAGGCCCCAACTTGTATTGTTTTTTTATAACGGGGGGGTTTGGATGGGCGGGCGCGGGGTGTGCGCCGCATCCCATTCCTGCCGAGCATTTTGCGACGTGGACGACAGGACGTCCATGCTGAGAGGAAAAACGTTGGTGCGCGGCGCCGAGGCGAGAGCGACATGTCACCCCTTCGCGCGGGGTGTGCACCGCGTCCTATTCCTGCCACGCATTTTGCGACGTGACGACAGCACGACCATGTTGACAAGAAAAACAAAAACTGTGTATTGTCTTTTGCAGATTAGAATGGTCCCCAGAGACTATTTAATTGATCATGTTCTGGCTCTTTTTTATTCCTGCCACTGCGATTTTGCGACGTGGACGACAGACGTCCATGGCGACGTGTGCCAATGACGGCTGACGACTCTGAAGAAGGATTTGGAGCATGTGCCGCTCGCGGCGACGGCGCGCGCATGTCGCCCGCGTGGTATTTTTTTGCACAGGATTCGCGGCCTGGGTGCATGACAGAGCATCGCGAGTGCACCGCGCGATGACGTGAAATCGCTGGATTGACCGAATTCTTAAGATTCCTATGGTTTTCCTATGATTTCAGCAAGAGAGCCCGGGCAGGATTTTTTTTGGTGAACAAATATTGGGTTTTTGATGTTTTTATGTTGAAATGCTTGCAAACACACGGTGTTCGGTAGGATTCTGACATGAACGCGCGCGTGTGCTCTTTGTGGTATTTTTTGCAATTGATTATCGCCGTGGACGACAGGACGTCCATGTCGAGAGGAAAAAATAAGAAAAATGCTGATTTTGTATTGTTTTTTACAGGTTAGGATGGGACCACCCGGATG